ATTCACATTGTGGCGCGTAGCCAAAATAATCATAAATATATAGTATATGATTCTTCGCAATATAAAGATGGGACTTTTCCTAGAATGTAAGAACAGATTTCGAGAAATTATATAGGAACATGAAATGTAAAATTCTTAACATGTTTACCAAACAAAAAACATGAAATGTAAAACTCGATAGGTTTCAAAGAAAGGGACAAAGAATCAGAGCGTGAGGTTTCTTCTAATGATTGTAGAAGAAACTCAAGAGAATTTCATTTACAAGAGAGATGGTGATGACTCGTGATAGGTTATATCTACCACATTGTGTGTAGCCTAGGCAAATAATCTATTCTTGTACATTTATAGTATATTCGATCGCTTTATACTGTAATTTGGTCTGGAATATTAACATGACGAGTGACGACATAGCATATATCTAAATCAGTCAGAAAATTTGTCACAGAACATTATGAGAGTGTTATGTATGTAACTAATAATTTTTCTAGGTAACTCCGTTAAGGTAATTTTTTTTTAACTATTTCTTTCAATTTGTAGTGCTACCGCTACGTGTTGATCAAAGGATTCAAAAATACAATGGTGACACTTCGTCACTTGGGATTTTAAACTAAGTTCAACAAAGGGCTTGAGCTTGTGGGTAGACAACATTAATGCTTTGTATCGAGACAAACAAGAAAAAATTCATGATGAGCCTAAATGCATTAAGTGCCGTTGGTTAATTAGGTGTTCGCATATACATAAACCAATAGACATATGGATAAAATGAAAAGAAAAAACAACTAAATAAGGGTAGAGAATAGTAATAAGTTATCAGGTGGGAAATCCAAAGAGAGGAACATGAAAGGTATATGTAGACACAATACAAAAATGGTATGACTTAGTGGAGAGGGTTTTTAATTAAAACAATATATATAGAGAGAAGAAAACAAAGAAGCATGCCCTAGATTTCTGAAGACAATAATTACACCTTGTTGTTTATATAAGGGAATAGAATATGACACAGTGATTAGTTTTTTAGACCATGATTATCTATGATACACATTGTATCATTAAATATAAAATTATTAAAATATACTCTCTTTTCCTTTTACTTAATTTTATACTTTTTTTTTCTTTTACTCAACTTTTATTAATTTTATTATCTCTTTAAATATAAAATTATTAAAAACACACTCTTTCTCTCTTCAAAAGTATCAAATAGTTGATACTTTTGATACTATCTCTCCAAAAATATTCACTATCTCTTCTCTTTACTAAAATTTTATTAATTTTATATTTCAATACACCCCATAATTTTAACCAAAAACACTCTCTTTCTTMCTTTTACTCAAATTTTAATAATTTTATATTTAATAATACCCACAAATATATCACCAATAATGATGCTTTTAAGGGTTAATTATTAATGTGAAAAATTAAAAGTTGAGAAAGAAAAAAAATCAACAAATAGTAAAGAAAGTATAAATGAAGAAGAAGAGAGAAAAAAGGTAAAAAATGGTGACAGAGAAATGGAGAGAGGTTAGGAGGCAAAGGAAATGTGGAGCTTTGATGATGTTGATGCACGCCGTCAGCTTTTCTTCACGCCTGCTCCCACTCACTCACACCTATAAACAT